CGGACTCGGGATAAATCTGACAGGTGCAGACAGAGTCATTATCTACGATCCTGATTGGAACCCTTCAACCGATCTGCAAGCCAGAGAAAGAGCCTGGCGACTGGGACAAAAACGCGAAGTAGCTATTTATCGTCTCATGACTGCAGGTACCATCGAAGAGAAGATCTATCATCGCCAGATATTCAAGCAATTCCTGACGAACAAGATTCTCAAGGATCCGAAACAGCGGCAGACATTCCATCTGAGTGATCTGCATGATCTCTTCAGTCTAGGGAATGAAGGAGAACCAACCGAAACAAGCATTCTGTTTAAGGATGCGCAGGTCAAGCATCCTTCTACCTCGCCCGATGCTCCCGCCACCAATAGCATTACCAACAAAAGCGAGCCAACAAGCATCGCTGGTGACACCACGATCGGGGCTTTGCCAGGTATATCTTCCATGGAGCAATATGCCGGAGAAATTGAGGAAGAGGAGCAGGCAAACAAGGAGGGTGCCAACAACTCCGAAGACAAGATGATGGAGGGCATTTTTTCGCGAGCAGGTATTCACTCAGCGGTAGAGCATGATACAATCATCGACGGAAAATCTGGAAAGAAGGTTGCAGCTGATCCGGTTTTGGTTGAGCAGGAGGCACGAAAGGTGGCTGCCGAAGCCGCCAGAGAATTGCGACGTGCTGGTGAGGTTGCCCGTACGGTTCCCATCGGGACACCCACCTGGACCGGACAGTTTGGTATTTCTGGCCGTCCTCAAGAGACGACGGCACAGAGAGCATTCAGCTCCAATACCCGGAACAGAGGTGGCGGAGTTCAATCGTCCAGTCTCCTGGCAAACTTGCAGCAGCGCCAAGGACTTGCACCGAGCAGAGACAGCACTCCAAGAACAGCGAGTCCTGCTAGATCGACAGACTCGACGGCTTCAGTTTCTAGAGGTGCAACACCGACTTTGCCTCAAGGCAAGGACTTTGGAAAACTCATCCGGGATTACCTCACCACCCATGGTGGAAGTGTATACACCCAGATGCTGATCGACCATTTCAATCGCTTCTGCACCACTCCTCAGGCGACGCTGGAGTTCAAGGAGACCTTGAAGCTGATTGCCAAGCTAGAAAAGGGGAGCCGAGGGCGCGGGCGCTGGGTGCTGAAGGATGAATACAAGAAGTAGAGCTAGAGACCTCCCACGATCAAAGCGTCAAGATCGCCTACTTCAAAGCATTTGTTTGGCTCTTTCTCCTGAGTTCCATCAATCACTCTCGTCTAGAAGTCCTTGGGGTGACCAGTATTCCGGCTCTGGGCACTGGTAGTCCACCCATACCAAAGAATCGGCTAGTAGATCTTGCACAGCTGTCTCGGCACGAGCCCGTTCCCAGCCTAGGTTGACCTGAAGCAGGGACACTGTCACACTGCCAAGTAGTTGTAAAACTTCCAAAACGGTGGATTGATCTGTGTTGAATTCTTTTGGCACCGATCGGATGAACCGCTTGTTAGCGATGGTGAGAATAACAAATCCCGACCCAAGGGGTTCCAGCGACTTAACAGCCCTCTCGATATCATCCTCTGACACTTGCAGACCACCACCAATGGCTTTGCCCCTGGCCACACTCTCACAGCACTCCTTCAGTCCAATCAAACCGCCATTTTCTGCCCTCGTCGCCTGGCATAACTCCACAACTCTCACGGCAACTGAAAAGTAGAAGTCGTTGACATCATGCCCCAGAACCTTGGCCCAGAGCGAATCCGCCTTTTTGCCTTTGATGTTGGAGCCGGCTAGAGGGTCGACACCGATGGCATTGCACATTCGCGCGAACTCTGCGCGGAATGTTGGGTTGGATTTGATTGTCGCCGCATGTTCGAGTGCGAAGTTATGGAGGAGAGACTGGAAAACCTCCAGCTGTGCCTGAAGCGAGGCTGCGTTGGCGGATTTCAAGTTCGAGCCATGTGCAGCGTAGGATTGAGCAGTGGCATTTCTATTCGTGAAGGCACCCAAGCCGACTCCTCTCCTGGTCGACATTGCTGATATCTGAGGTTGAATAGCATCAGTCTGAGCATAGGTTGTCTTGGTTGTCACACAGCAGACGGAAAAGGGCAAAGGGTGGATGATTGGGCAAACATGCCAAGAAAGCAACGGTGACCTTTCCTCTTTTGGTTTAGACTTGGAATCGCCCACAACTCGAATTTGATTCCGGCGCAGTTGAAACTTTTTGATGTTCCTACTCTTCATCAACTCTTCATCGCAACCTTGCCGTCGTTCAACCGCATCTTCAAACACGATGACGAAGCCAATTGTGAAGTCGTGAGTCTCTCTTACCATTCTGCTGACAGTTGGTATCCTCAGATATGGTCCGCACTCTTTTCGCTGGTTTCGCTGCCGCTGTTCCAGCTCGATCATCCCGATGCCTATCCAACTTGTGAGAAATCACGGCTTGGAACAACCGGGGCTTTGAGGTTAGAGGACTCAACCCTTCTTCCTTGAAATACATTGAGCTCGTATGACATGCCCGCTTGGTCGCAAGACCCGAGCACCTGTTATGGAGCTACAATCTTTCCTGATCTTCGATCGGGGCATTGTCAGTTGAGAGTTTTTAAGATTTTGGACTTTTTGAGTCCCATCTTTTCTCACTGATCAAATTCATTTCGTCGAGTTCACGCCAAAACATCCAGTTTGAGAATGCCGCGCCATAGCTGCAGTTCCGACTCGGCGATTACACCACCTGCGGACTATACTGATTCGATTTCCTCTCGTACAGATCTGTGCCGACGCAGGACCAGGTCCTGGTGCCTGAGACCCTGTTGAAGAAGAGGAAGAGCCAGGAGAAGGCCAGAGAACAGCGTGCCGCAACGCTTGAGAAGAGAAAAAAGGTTGGTCCACTGTCCACTTTTTGCCTGGAAAATAATGTGGTGATGATAAATACCACTGCGCGGCTAGACCTCAGGTCAATGTTGTCGCTTTGTTATACCATCTTTCGGGGCTGAACATTCATGCCGCCTCCACAACGTGTGATCATCTGGAGATGGCGTACATCGGCTAACATTGTCATGATCAGGCCAACAAGGAGAAGCGTGGCGTCATCTTCAAGCGTGCGGAGACATACGTCAAAGAGTACCGTGATGCCGAGCGAGAGAGGATCAGGGTCGCTCGCCTGAGCCGGCAACAGGGAAACTTCTTTGTTGATGAACAACCCAAATTGGTTTTCGTCGTCAGAATCAAGGGGTGAGCTTTTCATACACGCCTTCGCAAAGCAACTGCTAACTGTCGTCAGTATCAACAAGATCGCCCCCAAGCCTCGCAAAATTCTCCAGCTCCTCCGCCTGCTCCAGATCAACAATGGTGTCTTCGTCAAGTTGACCAAAGCCACACAAGAGATGCTTACCATTGTCAACCCTTACATTGCCTACGGCTATCCCAACCTCAAGACCGTTCGCGAGCTCATCTACAAGCGTGGATATGGAAAGATCAACAAGCAACGTATTGCGCTCACTGACAACCAACTCATCGAGGACAACCTGGGCAAATACGGCATTGTGTGCATGGAAGACTTGATCCACGAGATCTTCACTGTTGGACCGAATTTCAAGCAGGCCAGCAACTTCTTGTGGCCCTTCAAGCTGTCTAACCCCAACGGTGGTTTCCGTGCCAGGAAATTCAAGCATTACATCGAGGGTGGTGATCTGGGTAACCGAGAGGAGGCTATCAATGCTCTGATCAAGCAGATGAACTAGATTTGACAGCTGGGCTTCGAGTCGTGGCCCGGATTTCTGGCCTCTAGTTGCGATCAGCGTCTGAAGCTTGTAGGCTTCCGAGCATCAATGGATCGATGGATCGATGCATGAAAAGGGTACCGGCGCTAGCTTTTGCCATGCCAGTTTAGGCGTTAAGTATCACTGAAAGCCAGTGAAAAATGAGATGAGACAAGTTTTCCATGATAATTTTGTTCAACTTTTGTTCCATCATTCGTAGTCGTACTTGTAGTAGCGTCAAGTAGCGTGAAATCCGAGACCAGGTCTTGGGAAACGTCACGGGGCGCAGATGCAGGGGATCACGATGTTGTCCCACCACAATAAGCAATACAGAAGAGCATGTTAGAACATCATTCCTAAGCTGCCACACACGACCTCGTATTGCAGTGCTGCCTAACCAAGGGCTACTTCTTCGTATCGCCATCTACAATGACCTTCAACCCAGGCTCTAATGTTTCCATCAAATAGCAGCGCGACGAAAAGCCATGCATCACAGCATCACTTTCCACGCTTTCTTCTCCGCCCATTGATATGTTTTATTTGGATGTTGAGGTAGCGGTTGACAGGCAATAGATCGCGCCGTTAGACTCGAGGAGTCCAGCAAACTGATAGGTCTTTGTTTCCAGGACACCATTCCAGGTGCCCAGCTCGACGTTGTGACACATCACTAACCCGATTTCCAACTTGTCACGAGTCACCCTCAATACGAGTTCTCATGTCAAGCCACCATGCGTTGCACCTACAGCGGCAAGCGCGACGAGTTGACTTGCAGAAGCAGTTTCTCGATGTAAGAAGGCCACCCACACAGTGTCTACAGATGGCAAACAAGGCCTTCAGCCGCAATGAGGTAGGGATGCGCAACCCATGCAATGGAGGGTGATATCCTCCTGTCTGGATGACATGTGTCAACCACTCAATACGTTGGGCCCGCTCAGCAACACTTGCACATGCATCAAACGTTGACTAATTGCATTTTGTTGTGTACTACTGACTACAGTGTTCGCAATGCGCACGGTTCTCCTCGCACTATATGCTAGGTCTGAAATCCCTTGACAGAGACATTGATCGGAGGATTTGGATATTTGATGCGCGCTGGCATTCACGACCTGCGCGATCCTACGATCCGGGATCTTCAATTCATTCGCAGAGTTCATATGCACCACGGTCTGTGAGTGTTAGCGAAACTGCCAGCATATTACCAGGTTAGGCAGCCTGTGGACAAAAAGCGCCTCGAATTGGTTCTCCAAACAGTTTCCGCCGATTCAATGGCCCTGCCTGAGCAGATCCTCGAATTCTTGCAACATTCGTGGACAGTCCTGCTCTTAGGATTTCTCATTGCTAGACTTTTGATCAACAAATATGGAGGAAATCTGAATTCAATCCCTGGCCCTTTCATTGCAGGCTTCTCAAACCTTTGGCGTGTGCTAAACACCCTCCTTTCTAACCCAGCCGAGACACAAATCTCGTTGCACCGAAAGCACAACTCGCGTTTTGTGAGGATTGGTCCTCGTGTTGTGTCCATTTCTGATCCAAACCTCATACCGACCATCTATGGGATCAAGTCAGACTTCAAAAAGACCAAGTTTTATTCCATCGCCGAACTGTGGTACGAAGGTAGATGCACGCCGGGTCTGTTTGAGAGCCGCGATGAAGCCTACCACGCGCAAATCAGGAAGCCTATCGTGAATGCATACAGTCTGTCTACGATCCTCGAGTTTGAGCCGGCGGTCAACTCGACTGTTGCATTGCTTATATCTAAGCTGGACCAACTTGCTGCTTCTGGAAGGCCTCTAAACTTGGGATTGTGGCTATACCGTTTTGCATTTGATGTCATGTAAGTTGTGCCCGTCCTAGGCACAAGGCTTTTACTCACATGGTTTGGTAGAGGCGAAATCCTGTTCAGCAAGAAAATCGGCTTCCTCGAATCGGAAGTTGACGTTGAAAGCATCATGATTGGGATTCGCGGCTTTACCAAGTATTTTCAGTTGGTAAATCATTGCCAGTTTGTCATCGCGATTTCTTTGCGATAAACTGACCGTTTTACACTCTACAGGCTGGACAAATCCCAATCGTGGACCGGTTTCTCTTAAAGAATCCTCTGATGCTGAAATACGGGCCAACCAATCCAATAGTCACTTTCACACTCAACCGAATAAGCGATAGGGTGGCCTGCAGGACAAATGAGGGTCAGAGAGAACGCGACTTTCTCGAGAGATGTTTCGAAGCCCAAGCCAAATACCCGGAGGCTGTGACGGACAGGATGATCATGCTGTACAACTTTGACAACATTGCTGCCGGGTCTGATACGACCGCATTGGCATTGACTGCGGTGAGATTTCGTGTTCACCTGGTCTTTTATTCATCTGACAATGGCATTCTCCATTTTCTAGGTCATGTATTATCTTCTCAAGAACCCGGAAACTTTGCAAAAGGCCGTCGAGGAGCTCGATTGTGCGGGGAAAGAGTGCCGGCTTAGCGAATACATAACGTGGAATGAGGCGAGCAAACTACCCTACCTGCAGGCCTGCATCAAGGAAGCAATACGCAAGTCCCACTTCTCCTGAATCCTCCCAGAGACTTGTTCTGACAATTACAGGCATGCATCCCCCTATTGGCCTTATCCTCGAACGATACGTCCCAAGCGGAGGTACTTTCCTCGAGGGTCATTATTTCCCCGAAGGCACGACTGTGGGAGTAAATCCATGGGTTACGGCGTCAGTTAGATCTCTATTGCTTCATCTTCGACCCCCTTCAAGTCCTCTCGAAATCGCTAACCAGCAAACCACAGACGAAATAAGGAAGTGTACGGCGAGGACTGCGATAGTTTCAGGCCAGAGCGATGGCTTGAGGAGTCAGAGGAACGACTTGCGGCAATGGAGAGAGCCAACTTTGCGGTATAAAGTTCCTCTATCTTTTATACAGCCCGTTGGCGCATGCTGGAGACACTGACTATGCTCACAGTTTGGTTATGGAAAGCGTGGATGCTTGGGTAAGAATATTGCCATGTTGGAAATTTCGAAGCTGGTGCCGCAGCTGCTTCGTCACTACACGGTATGTTCGTTCTCATCATGCGTCTGTCGGGTTCTGGTTTGTACTCACAGTTCACTCATGGACTAGTTCTCATTCGCGCGTCCTGATCTGGAGTGGAAGGTTCGTGGTGGCTGGATGGTACGGCAAGATGGTGTTGAAGTTGCTCTCAGAAAACGCATCCGAGGACCAGACTAGGTTGAGGGAAATGAGTTCCGAATACGAGGTGTTCAGTGAGACTTGGAGTTTCCAATCATGGTTAATATCTCCCAATATGTCTGATGGAGGAAATATAGAGTTCATCGTATTCGTTGCCCAACAGTTGGGACGTTATTCTGCTTCGAGTCAAGATCTCAGGCACCAGCGAGCTAAGATGCATTTCTGCCTTGCACCAAACCAGATTCAAATACGACAGAGCTTTGGAGATCTGCATGGGGCCGCTTATTGGAGACTTATAAGATACTCATCATTCCCATTTGATTCTGTATTGTGATATGCTTGTATTGTGTCTTCAATATTGACTTTTTCTTGACTCGGAGCTCACCACATCAGCATTCCACAACTCTTTCTCAGCCACCTCCTCCTCGTAACAACCTTCCGAGTCCCCCACGACTGACAAAGAACAAGATGAGCGGCCCAACAGAGGAGAAAAAGACCTTCACAGGCTCCTGCCACTGCGGCTTCATCAAGTACAAAGCGACCTTTGCGCTGAGCGACCCTCCCACCGCGGGCCGGTGCAACTGCACCATCTGCCTGAAACAAGGCTTCACGGGCATCCGCCTCCCGCGCTCGGACTTTGCGTTGGTCTCGCCCGCCTCGCTGTCCGAGGCGCGCGACTACCAGTTCCGCTCGCGCGACGTGCACAAGTATTTTTGCGGCACGTGCGGCGTCCACGTCTGCGGCGAGGGCCGCTTCGAGTTCCCCGCCGGCTCGGGCACCATACACGACTTCTTCTCCATCAACGCCGTCACCCTCGACCAGCCCCAGGAGGGGCTCGAGCTGAGTAAATTCAAGATCTCATATGTCGACGGGAGGCATGATAATTGGGGCGGGGGCGCCAAGGATGTGCCCTGGCCGGGGGGGATTGTCTAAGTCTGAATCATGAAGAAAGGGCAGGCCATAGGGGTACATACAGGAGGATTAATAGTAGGCAGAAGAGGGGGGAGGAGTCAAGTGCCAGGATTCTCTTTCATTCTGGAACGGAGTGGTTTTCTAGTCCGCTTCACTGAACCGATTCATGGCTATGTTCCTGTAGGGGTACAGTCATAAGCTACACCCAGGATGGGCCTTCTCCCCAAAGCTTCACTGAATAGCTGGTGCTTCATAACTTCCACTATCTGGGTCTATCAAGCCAACGCAATCATGTTCTCTATTCGCTCCTTCCAGCACGTGCAAAAACTCATTGCACAAGTCATCTCCGATGGCGAAAACGAGGATTGTCGACCTCAGACTGGGATGGAAGCAGCTCGTATTCTGTGATGTCTCGGTGCCGAAGGAAGCTCACTCGGCTCATCATGAGTAGAGCAGTCCGTGTGATTCAGTCAAACAAGTAGCAGGTAGATGCCTGTTAAGACCATGTTCTGGACAAACTAGGCTGTGGAAGCAGAGTGGGTGATGATTATGATACAAGCTTCAGACATAACAGTAGCAATCATCCGAATGCTTAGGCGATCGACCTTCCTTATTTTAGTCTCAGGCCTTAACGCCCAGGTACTGCGAGATACACTACTACCAGGTAAAGGACCACTTACGAGGGGTAAGAAGGAAAGCGAATACCGTGGTTAGACGAGTAGTAGTAGGAGATTTCAATCGGCACGACTAACTTTGGTGAGGGGTGTAGTATGTCACAGAGACGAGGAGATGCTGATTTGATCATCGATGTGATGAACGAAACCACTATTGACTTGGTCCTCGTCTCTGAGGAACTGAAAGACGCCACGGTCAGAAGCAGAACCAGGGTCGGATCAGCGCTCGTTGACGTCGGTTTTTAATGCCAAGAGATATGTCGGTTCACTTTCCTCTTGTGGTATAGCCAATTGCTAGCGGCGGCGGCGGCTGCCTTTCGCCTTTTCGCCTTCGCTGTATTTGTAAAATTTCAACCCTCCGCCCCCTTCTTTACACAACAATCTTCTCTCACCTCTTTGTTCACTTTAACCCTTTTTTCCCTCTCTCACACAGTCTCTCACGCTCTCATTTCATTTAGACGAAGAATTGACTCTGTCTAATTGATTCTTACCCTCCTTCCCTCTCATTTCTGACTTTACAGAGAAACGACGAATTTCGGCGCCCATCATGTCTTACGGTGGCTACGGTTCATCAAGAGACGGCGGTTATTCTAATGGGTATGTGAAAACCTCTCAAATTCATAGTTGTCTGCGTCACAAATGTCCCGTGCCCGACTTGCAGGTCTTCAATGGCCTGGCGCAGACTGATTTTTTACTTTTTTCTGGATCGTAACTAACAATTCCGCAGTTACGGCGGCGGCCATGGCGGCTATTCCAACGGATACACCAACGGCTACGGCGGTTCCAACGGATACTCTGGCGGCGGCGGCGGCGACAAGATGTCCAACCTGGGCGCTGGCCTGAAGCAGCAAACTTGGGATCTGAACAATCTACCAAAATTCGAAAAGTCATTCTACAAGGAGGATCCCATAGTTACGGCCAGGTCACAACGCGATGTCGATGAGTTCCGCAGAAAAAATGAGATCACAGTTCAAGGTCGCAATGTCCCACGACCAGTCGAAACTTTCGATGAAGCCGGATTTCCCAGTTATGTCATGTCTGAAGTCAAGGCCCAAGGCTTCACAAAACCCACTCCGATTCAATCTCAAGGCTGGCCTATGGCTCTTTCTGGTCGTGATGTCGTCGGTATTGCCGAGACCGGATCAGGCAAGACCTTGACCTACTGCCTTCCCGCAATCGTTCACATCAATGCTCAGCCACTCCTTGCCCCTGGTGATGGTCCCATTGTCCTTGTTCTTGCCCCGACTCGAGAACTCGCCGTTCAAATCCAGCAAGAAATCACCAAATTCGGCAAATCTTCCCGGATCAGGAACACTTGCGTCTATGGAGGTGTTCCTAAGGGTGGGCAGATCCGCGACCTTACTAGGGGTGTGGAAGTGTGCATCGCTACTCCGGGCCGTCTCATTGACATGCTCGAGTCTGGAAAGACAAACCTGCGCCGCGTCACTTACTTGGTTCTCGATGAAGCTGACCGTATGCTGGACATGGGCTTCGAGCCACAAATCCGCAAGATTATTGGCCAAATCCGTCCCGATCGACAAACCTGCATGTGGTCCGCAACGTGGCCCAAGGAAGTCCGACAGCTGGCCTCCGACTATCTCAATGACTTCATCCAGGTCAATATCGGCTCGATGGATTTGTCGGCAAATCACCGGATTACACAAATTGTCGAAGTTGTGTCCGAATTCGAGAAGAGAGATCGTATGATCAAGCACCTTGAGCAGATCATGGAAGATCGCAACAACAAAGTCCTCATATTCACTGGCACCAAACGTGTGGCTGACGAAATCACTCGATTTTTGCGTCAAGACGGATGGCCCGCACTCTGTATGATTTCTCCCTTGTATCCTCTGTTTTGATTATGAGCTAACGGTCGACAGCTATTCACGGTGACAAGCAACAGAATGAACGTGACTGGGTCTTGAACGAATTCAAAACTGGCAAGAGCCCAATCATGGTCGCTACGGATGTCGCATCCCGTGGTATCGGTATGAACAAACAGCAATCCCCTTCCCCCGTCCCTTTTCCCTATTATATTTTCTATCTTGTACCTCTTACCATTGCCGTCGTGTGGAATGGTGCCGCGCTCTCTTCCCGCTTGTTACGCTCTTGCGTTGCGTAACTTGTCCAGGCTTTTGTGTTCTCGTCGGTCCTTTTCTGGAAATCCTGGATTCTCTTGCAGTTTGCCGGGACTCTTGTTCCTGACATCTCTATATCTGCTTTGTCCAACACGAGTAGGTTGTGGGACACATTTACTTTGACCAGATCAAACTGCAAATCCAGGATCTTTCGCCCCCAAGGACCGTAGACGCTTGCCGATCTCCCGGACATGGACATTTGTCACCACAAGGATAATGCTCCGAGCTTCAGAGAGTGACATGCACCTCCGCTCACACGACCACACATGGTCCCCGGCGCCCCGTAAGACCACCAATGGCTGAGTTGCTAACCTTTACTTGAAGATGTTCGAGATATCACTCATGTGTTGAACTATGACTATCCCAACAACTCGGAGGATTATGTTCACCGAATCGGCAGAACAGGTCGAGCTGGCAAAAAGGGCACAGCCATCACGCTCTTCACTACAGAAAGTACGTATTCTTACACCCTCACACACGGTGTATAAATTGCTGACCTTGTTCCCTTCTAGATGCCAAGCAAGCTCGTGACCTACTTTCGGTCCTCCAGGAGTCGAAGCAAAGCATCGAACCTCGTCTCGCAGAAATGGCACGCTACTCTGGCGGCGGTGGCGGCGGCCGTGGCTATGGTGGCCGTGGCGGTCATCGTGGAGGCCGTGGCGGTTTCACTGCTTCCAACGCTGCGCCCCTTGGCCGGTCCAGGTGGTAAACGATACGTCGAACGAGTCAACTGCTCGCAGCGACACGCAAACGGTGAGAACGATCACAAGCGGTTCACTCACCTCGCAAGTTGCCGACATTGCATCTTTCCTTCATCATTCAAAGAGACTCTAGACTTGTTTTGTGCATTACTGCCATATGAGGCTCAGGCGTCAGGAAGCACGGGGAGGGCAAAGATAGATTGCGTCTATTTTACATTAGCTAGGGGAGACTCTTGTTCACCCCTAGCGGCAGGTTTTATGCATTCATGGGATTTTGATGGGTTACGGGAGCAGTTGGGGCTCCTCACTTGAGAAGAGTTGAGCAAAATGGGGATAGAGCTGGTGTCAATGACGACTCAGATGGCTCAACCGTATTTGGAACAGGGAGAGAGACAGTTGTGATACGGAAGGCATGATTTCCCACCGGCGGTGCAGCATTGTGATGATCGATCAAAACAATAGAGAAAGAAGTACTTGCTACATAGCTTGAGTGTAAAATCAGAGACGTGCATTGCCATGGATGAGATTTTGTATTCACGTGGTCAGTAAGTTGTGTAGGCCGAGGAAGGCGAGGATGTTTTGAACATATGGCACCTCGGCGGCAGCATATAACCACGGGGCATATGGACGCTGCCGAAGCCGCCCAACGCGCGAAGGTGTAGGGAAGTTTCGAGCTGGTTATTATGTGTCTCACATCGACGTTAAGTGGTTAGGAAAGTGAAACTCACGAGGGCACGCATTTGCTCCTGCTCGGGGGGATAAGCTCGACGTGCATTCAATGGTGTAATATGGTGTATCATGTATAGTGTATAGTGACCGCATATATGAGATGTGTACAGTCCTGCTCAGTAGGTCACACAGAACAGACTGTCAGGGCTTTCTTCCTGGTGAATTCGACAACACAAAGCATCATCATCCCCGTTCCCGTCCTTCTGTTTTTATGGAGTGGCCAGCCAAGAGGCCTGATAGGCAGATAGATACTGTAGATAGATACTCGATCTAGATGATCACTGTATGTACCTTTGTCTTTTCGGGCCAATGCCCCCCTGGAGCGTTCTAGAAATGTGTTTCGGCCTTCACGAGGTATGCAGGTTCGTTTAGGGGTTCTGTTCTGTTCTGTGTGTCAGGCCAGAAGAATCAGGAAGCCGTGGCCTGGCTCCAGTCGAACCCGTCTGACAGATGGCGCTTCGCACGGCGGGAGAGTTGTCCTCTGCACCTAGGAGAAATGTGATCTCAGCGCGCCAAAAAGATGGCCTGTGGCTGGGAGGGGGATTGCGCAATTGATCAAAGGCAGGAAAACGTTTCTTTGCGTTAATTAGTAGTAATCCTCGCCAAATGCTTCGTTGATGAGGCTGGCAACCCGGTGCCACGCTGCGGCGGTGTCGTCGTCGGTGTCTTTGACAACCATCAACTTCCACGGGCGCAGGTAGAAATAATCCTCCTCTTTGCCGGCCTTGGAGGCTTCGAACCGGTTGTACATCTGGGAGAAGATGGCCTCCATGCCCTTCTTGTGCTTCAATCTCTCGGGTTTCTTGATCGTCACGAGTGGCTGTCGGCAGAATTCCAAAACGAGCGCCGCGATGCCGGCGGCGACGGGGCAAGCGACCGACGTGCCTGATACCCTCTTGGTCGCTTGTCCCGTGTAGGGCGTTTCCACGTACATGCCCAGGGTGCTGAAATTGTGGGCGTCGTCGCTGGAGGGCAAGGGATTGTTCTTCCACGGGCCGCCTCCCCCATGCGCGGCGTGGATCGCGATCACCTCCGGACGCTTGGCCGGGTACGCTCTGCCGTCGTTCCGGCCTGAATTGGACGCGGCGGCGAACAGCAACACCTTGTCTTTGATTTCTTCGAGTTTGGCAGACATGGCCTCTTTGGTCTTTTTGTCATTTTTCGATATGGCGAACGACATGCTGATGATGTCGACTTGCCAGTCGTTCACTGCGTGCTCGAGGGCCTAAATGTGTCGATTAGCAATGCTCCTTTTGGGAAAGAAGAGAGGACTGGCCTCGATGATGTAGTCTCCATTGACGTGTTTCCGATCTTTGAAGACGCGCGCAATGTAAATGTCGGCGTTGGGCGCCACCTTGTGCGCAACCATCGCACAGGTTGTTCCGTGGCCGTCTTCGTCCTGGTCCGCCCGCCAGTCCGTCGATGGAGGGGCCCAGAAGCCTCGCAGACGTCGTTCTTTGGCAGTTCTCTGTTTAAGTTTCTGCACGTCCGGGTGCTCCGTGTTGAGCCCTGTGTCAAGGATAGCAATACGTGGTCGGAGACCTGCTCCCGAGTTGAGGACTCTGAACCCATCGAGAAAAGAATGGGTTTCTTTCAAGTGTACTGAGAACCACTCATCGGTGCTGTTCCCGCTTAGCGACGTCAATCTGGGCCGGGGGGGAGGGGAGGGGGACTTGCTCCTTAGATTCAGTCTCATCGCAAGCTAGAAGAGCCGCATCTGAGAAGTCGGCATCAATGGTGTCGGAACGGATCACGGCTCTGCTAGACGAAGTCTCAGGACCACCATGATCAACAGACCTCGCCCGTATTGTCTGCTGAGGTGGGGCCAAAGGGGACGCATTTGCTACGGGCCTCGATGGGTCGCCAGCGCGTAGTGAGGGAGTCTGGGAGCCACGCAAGCAGGCAAACTTCGAGAGATCGTTTGTCTGTTGATCCCTTTGCAAGCCGAGCGGTTTCGCAGGAGGTTGAGGTCGCGTTCTCGGCGACTGGATCGGCCGTCCTCTGAAAGCAACAGGCTGCGAGGTTCCTTCGGGTAATTGTGCAGAAGAGGTTCTTGACCGAGGGAAGCTCGTGTTGGAGCCTTGATTCAATGATGAGACCTTCTCAACAGACGTCGAGTTCTATACTCACTTGTATCACCTGCGATGCATATTCCCAGGCCCACGGCCTTGTTGTCAAAGGTATCAGCTGTAGAAGATGGGAGTCGAATCTCTGGGGTCGTCTGAGGGCTGTAGATCGGAGATCCAGTGGCTGCGGTGACGGGCACAGTCTTGTCGCGTCTGTTTGCCTTTGCTTTCAACCGATCCATCCGCTTCTGGATGTTCCTCCGCTCCCACTCAAGTACACGGCTGTGATTTTCTCGTATCGAGTCGGTAGTTTCGTGTTTACGGCCAAGGCCTTCTACACTCACCTCGAGTGCGTTCTGGAGGATGTTCAATGCATCCTTGCCGCGATTCCGGGGAAGAAGCATTTCCACGACTGCGATTTGGAGATGTAGAACTTGATTCAGGATAGCCTTTTCGACGTCTGTGTCGGGTTCTATTCGATCGAGCAGGTCATGGTGAATGTCGATCGCCTGGTCAATCTTGCCCTGATTTGTCAATGCTTCGGTGAGATGGGTTCGTATAAGCAGCACATTGGGATCGCCCGGTGCGAGCCACCCGTCTACAAGCCGGAGCATCTCACTGTAACGTGCTTCGACAGTCTCCCAGTCTTCAATGTTAGTCGCATGGATGGCCTTCTTTTCAATTCGGCGCAGTTTTTCGATCCTTGTCACGTCAACCCCAGAGTCCTTGTCTTCTGTGTTCATAGTCTCCATCCTCGTCATGCTGGGCGATAAATCGCATCGAGAAAGGCATAGACCGGCAACAATCAGCGGGATATATGAAGAGATATACGCTGTTCATCATAAAGTACATAAAATTCGAGAATGAGGCCGAGTCATTCGAGCGACGCCAAGACCATCTCTTGGCTGAAGCGACGAGTCATTTGCGTCTTTGGGCATCAACTTCTCTTACGAAGATATACATATCATATGAACAAAGTCGCACGCAGCTATACAAGGTAAGGTGAATGCTGTGTCTTCCAAATGCGAAGGGTTCAAGCTCCCTCCACATGCCAATGAAATGTCTAGTTGTGGCGCCACAGCCATGAATATCTCTCAAATGCTATCAGAACTCGAATCTGATGGAGGCAGCCGAACTGGAGGCGGCTTCCCATACCGTGTCACCTTTCTGTCGAGGAAGAGCCTGCCTGAAGGAAATCTTCCAACCGTAAGTTTCTCTCCCGAGCCCCAAAGTCCAGACAACTTGAGCGTGACAGGGACACCGGAAGTTCCAGCCTTCACAACAGCCGGATTCTTGATCAGATGTGGTTTCTTCGGAGGGACCGGCGGCTTCTTCGGCACAGGGTCAATCACGATATGCTCCTCATAGACGGTCCTTCGAGGACGTGTTCCGCCGTCATAGTCCTCCCCAGCATGTCGCCCGGAAGCAGTTCGGTGCTGCTCATTGGGGCCCGAGTCGTTTCTCACGACAAATTCCCTCGTGCGACGCCGGGCTATATTGGCACGGTAAATGTAGTGGGATTGATCTGCCATAAAGTTCCTACATCATGGCTTCGGTATCTCAATCGCCTTTTTCCGGGAGAACTCTTCTACCAGGAGTTAGCCTTGTGGAAGAAATGTCACAGCGGCTGAGGCTCTTACAACGACGCCGACCACTAGATTGTCAACATCAGGCTGAAGTCGCTGAAGCGAGCACGCTGGTGCTGAAGTAGTCGGTGATATTGTCCAGGCTCGGCCTTGTCTCTTGTGCAGGTTGAGCCTGTGCGCGCACAGGTTGTATACACCAACCACCGAGGAGGATTGCGACGCTGGACTCGATGGGGACGATCCGAGCCGGAACCGGAAGTCTGGGCAACTTCAGGATTTGTCGGCTTGTTCTTGACATGGGCTGTCTATATTATCCTCTTGGAGAGATTATCCGAGTTTGTGAGCACCAAGTTCAGCCTCGCGAAAGAGAGAACGAACGACCAACCGACTGACCGACCGACCTAGCACCCTAGCTAGCTACCCCGCTCTTCAGCCTCAGTCGCCTCCATTTGCGAAGGTCTGGAAATGGTGCGAGACGATAACGCTATCGACGCTATCGCTTCACCTGCAGCTCCTCACGTATATCAGTCGGGCGCTACGCTCGTTTGGTGGCTCGAGGGGAAGTCACAAGTCTCGGATGCAACCATGCCATAGACCGCCTTATGCGTTGCTTCTCGTTTCGGGCATGACTTGGCCTTTGGTGACTCATGTCAAGGTCAATATTTGTCGACAGCAGATAAATTGCAGGCCTTTGCAGGAACTCTCGATCTAACTCGCTGTCGTCGATGGCCAACGTCCAGACCTCGTACTTCTTCCCGCCCCAGTGGACTTTCCACGTCGGCGGCCCAATCAGCCTGGGCAACATCCTCCATGACCCTAAGACACCTCAATATGCTCTGAACGACGAAGACAGGCAGCCACTACCGAAGCTCTTCATCGACGACACAAAATCGCACTTCGCAGTCACCATCACCAACAACAAAGCCAAGTCGGCCGGGATTGGCTCCTCGTTGCTCCAACTCTTCGGTTTCTCAGCGGATCTGGCCGCAGAACGGACCAAGACACTGACCTGGACCATCGAGGCCGACCAGCTCGCGACGCAGGAAATCAACCCCAAGGCTTCGTATGTCGAAACGTGCTTCAAGCACCCGGAGGTGCAGAGCTTCTTGCGGAAGACCAAATTCCGCAAGGAGTTATACATGATCACTGGGATCATGGCCGTGTCGAGCGCGACGGTGAGCAGCGAGATCGGCCAGAAGCATCTCTTCTCCGCGAAACTGGGCGGAAACCTTGCGCCCGTGGCTGCAGGTGTGCCAGTCGAAGCGCATGTCAGTGGCTCGATTTCTGGAGACCGTGGCAAGCAGGGGTCCTTTGGGAAGTCGGATTTCATCTTGGGTAGGCCACAAGCCTCTCCCTAAATGTTCGCGTGGGAGAAGGAAAACCGCACTTTACACATTCCTTCGTTGACTTCGTGTGGGCCCCTGCTCGATTAATTCAGGGGGTGCTAATAGCTTCGAAGCCTACAAACTTAGGAAAATCCAATACCTGAAGACCCAGAGCGTGAAAGACATGAAAGACGTCTATTCCGGCACGGTCCTTGATAACGATCGTCCGGCCCTACCTTTGGGGGATGAGGTCGAGGAGGAGGACCAGACGGCAGAGGCCCAATTCCTTGGTCTTGAAGACAGCGTGGCTGGCCGGGACGAGTTCGAATTTGCGGCCGTTGAGGCGCAGGTAAGTCGCCGGGAGAGCAGTGGCGGCGAGACCATCGAGTTTGTGCTCCCTGTGGAATCGGAAGATGTGGAATAGCGGCTGCCACACTGTGGATCAGAGGCAAACCCAGGCAAGGGCAAGATGATGTAGACGATGCTTCTCTGCGGAGCTAAATGGGAATGGAATGAAAGGGATGGAGGGATGGAAGGAATGGAACAGAAACGAAATCCAAAGCCAAAGCCAAAGCCAAGGTAAGGCAAATGAATGAATGAATGGACAAATATACAGATCGAGTTTGACACGGTACTAGGTAATATTATGTATGTAGGTACATGGGTGGTAGGCAATAGGCAGGCAATAGGATATATTCTTTCCTGTTTCTGTGTACCTTTTTCTATTTCTTTTTGTTTTCCCCCTCCCACTTCCAGCATATGAAGCTGCAAGTGTAAGTGTGATGTTTACTTTTATATTTGATCTTGGGTCTCAGGACCTTGACCTCGATCTTTGACCTCGCATGACCTTGTACCTCATACATGTATTTTTAATTTATGTATTCACTGACTCGCTCTTCCCAGGGACGGTTTGGTTGGCGACGCTGGTCGCTGGTCGCTCAAGGTCTGATAGATACTTACTGTACGTAGGTACCTAGGGAGGTGGGAAAGCAAAAATGTCCCCTTTGTCGTCAGAGGATGTTTGTTATGTGAAGCGCAGTCACCTACAGACCTACCTGCCCGTAGGATGATATCCGGGGAGGGAGGGAGGATGTATGTATGTATGTATGTATCTATCTATATACATACATACGAACATGCGCCATCGTAAATATCACGGAGTACCGGTAGAGTCTGGATGGCAGAGTTCCCCGTAGAGCCATTTCCATGTCCATGTCACAGTGCCAAGTACTCGAACGAGATGGTGCTGTGGTGATGTGGTGAAGAGAAACTGCACGAAAACCCAAGTCTTGCTTACTTTTCCCAGTCTCGAGTCTCCTTTCGATATTGGATTTCCTCTGCTGGTTGAGGGTTGAGTACCTAGAGCCCCTGGAAAGCAGCCATCACAAACGAACCACGAGAAGAGGATTCGCACAGAGCATTCTTATTACCTACCTACTACTAACCTACCTGTCCGCCTACAGGACCTACCTTGGTGGGCAGGCTTCTTTGTTCGTCCACAGACAAGGAGCTAAGAGAAGACGTTCTGTACCTACCTGATGATAGCATGGCATTGCATGGCGAAGTACATATGACAGACATGTACCTCAGATGCTGCCCTTTTACCTTGAAAATCCTCAAGGTCCGACCAGATCATGTCTGACGCGGGTTCTTCTTGGTACTCAGCTTGAGCTGTAGGCTGTAGCTGTAGCTGTAGCTGTCCCCAGCTGGGGGTTGAGGTTTCTCAATTGCAGCTACCTACCTAGTACGTAGTTGGTAGGTACTGAGCATTATTACTCCCCACCAGATCGCCGGAACCGTTCGTAGGCAGGAGAGGGAACTAGTCTATCACAAAAGACACCAACCCGCCGATCCCCTCGACCAGGAGATTGTCATGGTGGCATGATGTGATGGGTACCTACTAATCCCGGGTCCCCATCCCGGCAGGACATCTCAGCAGGACTTGGTTGTAGGACCTTGTAAGGAGTATGTATGGAGGTAGTGGGCACTGGACACAGTGATGCCGCCCTTATCTTGAGCGAGGTTCCCACTTCTGGTTGATCTCTTGATCTGTCGCTGGCACCTCTTGGAACTTGGGAGCTCAACAGTTTTTCTTCCAAAATGATCTGCGTTCATGTACCGAGTACCGACTGGAGAACAGCATGATGAATGATTTAAGATTGGATTGGATTGGCAAGCTCAGGCACAGTACAAGGTTTCTGGGGCCTGGGTGTAGTAGGTGGTAGTGTACCTACCGTACCGAGTAGTTTGACGACAATGGCGTTCTGTGAAAGGATAAGGCTGAGAATTCAGCTCAGTCGCATCATCCTGTACTTTCCTAGTGTAGGTAGGTATGTAGGTCCTCGTAATATGGGGAATCAACGCATCTCAGTAATAATTAGTCGTAGTAGAGCAAACCCGGGGAGAGAGGGAGCTGTCCACAACTTGGTCGCTCTTGTGCCGGCACCGGCGCCAACGGCCCCTTTTTTTTTTTCGTTCGCTTAAATTGCAGGCCAGACTTGTAAATCAAGAATAATCATCGGCACTGGCACTGGCACCACGTCTCATCATGACGGCGTCTCAGGGTTTGAGGTCCATTAAACTTTTTTGAAACAAAGCACCCACGCACCCCAGCCGTTTCGAAAGAGTCGACGGTGGGCGCCTAAATCCGCCTAGTAGGTAGGCAAGCAGATAGGCAAGCCGTTGAGAATGTGGGCAGGTTCGTGCCTAGTGGGAGACGAGACACTAGGGACTCGGGAGGTAGGTACCTCGTACTCATACTCTTAGATGAGTAGCGTTGCCAGTATCTCGGCCTTCGTTGCGGAGGATGGACAAATGAAGTGGAAGAGGCAGTAGTGATGCTCGTAGTAG